TATTCACAGCCTCTGCAGCTCATTTGATCCCCAGCCAGTCAGGGAGCTACCCACATGGCACAACAGATGTCTCCTGTCTGGCCCACTTCTCCCCTCAGCAGTGTGTTTCAGTCAGCCCCTGACTGTTCTGTTCCCCACTCTGTGTATGGTGAATCCAAATCCAATCCCCCCACACCTATGGCCTGTACCCCAGTTCTTGTATGCATAAATAAATAAATCTTTTTTAAAAATGTAACATGAGACATGATAAATGAACAATTGCCAATTTGTTTGGTGAAGGAAATCAGCCAAATCTGGTGTAACTGGAAAGCCCAACATCCAAGGTATTTTTGCAGTGGCGGGGGCGGGGGTGGGGGGGTTGGGGGGTGGGGAGGAGGGATTAGAAAGGAGCCTAATGTTTGCAGGAGCTGAGAGCGCCCTCTAGTGTCCAGGTGGACACAGGTCCTAACAATAGAAAATTAATCACTTTGGTAGGTCTGGTATGGGGGCATTTGAATGAAGCCATTTACCAAAATTTAGGGCCCTGGTATGTGCCTATTGTTTTATTCCTGTGTTTGCTCGTGCTTGTCAGACTATGTTGCCCCATCTTTGGATGAGACACAGACCCAGAGTTCTGCAGGCCACATCATTGGCCCAAAAGCCAAGATGCAGTAGAACAAGGCCCAGAGGTCCATGTAGATGGGTAGGGAGCATCTGAAAGTGTAGGAGCAGCCCGTGGACCTGCAGGCCGCCCAGGAGCTGCGGAAGGCTCTGCCTGATTTCACCCCTGGCCCCTGCTTGGATCGCTGCCATTCATGGGACCCCCAAGGAAATCAAACACTGGCTCATTGTGGAGTGGGGTTCTGAGAAGGGCCAGGTGTGGTCTGCTTTTTCTGGCCATCTTTCTCCCTTGCAGCCCTTTGCTGATATTAGAAACCAAGCCAGGCAGACTCAGGGTGGTGAGTCTCAAATGCTGCACTGGCACCACCAGGTCTGTGGTCAGGAGGATGTTAGGACGCTCCAAAAACATGTTTGAGGGACAAGTCATGGAGCAGGTTTGCAAGCCAAGACTCTGCTGCTTAGAGAGCAGCCCCCTTGCTTTTTTTTTTTTTTTTTTAAATAGAGGCATGTTTTATTTATTTATTTGTTTGTTTGTTTGTTTTGTTTATACATGCACTGGGTACAGTCAGAAGCACGGGAGGGTGAGAGAATTCACCAGAGCCAGAGCCAGAGCGGGGAGCAGAGCAGGCAGAAGGACCGAAGTCACTGGTGAGGGGAGCAGCGGGCGGCAGGAGAGGTCTGTGCGCCATGTGGGACCCTCCTCAGGTGGCCGGGGAGCAGCCGGGGATCGAACCAGCACCGCAGAGGCCGCGGGCAGCGTCGCAACCCAGCGCTCAACCGCTGCGCCACCGGGGAGGCCCAGCCCCCTTGCTTTTTATTAGCAGTAACATACAAACATGATTGATACTGTGATAATGGCAGGAGAAACAGGGTCCAGGGGAAACAAAGGGTGATCAACTTTATTGGGAACAGGGAGGACATGTTGACCACCTATACAGGGAGCACTTCCTGTGCAGACACATGGTCTAATTTTCAAGCTACTCCCAGACCATCTTGAACCCGGATCACACAGTCAACAGCTACCAAGGTGTCCCCAGCCACCTGTGATGTGGGCCATTGCCTCAGGGCAGGCATGCAGGGCTGCCTTATCCAATTCTTTCACACACACACAGATGTATAGAGAGGCCATGTGTACACAGGTGCAGAGGCCCTGCGTGGAAAAGAGGCCACAACCAGGGAACGTATTAGAAATATAATTTCCAGACCCCAGTCCCGCCCTACTGAGTGAGAAACTCCAGGGTGGGGCCCAGGACTCTGCATTTTCACAATCCCTTCAGCAGAATTTTGCTTTGCAAATCAGTGGACTCTCTCCCTCTCTCTGTCTCTCAGTCTCTCTCTAATGGGCATATAGCATCTGTGATTCTGAATAGTCAGATGCTGGGCCACACTTTTTGTTAAGAGGCACCTGGCTTCTCAGTCAACTTAGTCTGAACCCTGGCCTGGTACAGGCAGAGAAATTCACTTCTTGGATTCTGGCCATATTCTCTTATCCTGGGTGCCCACTGGCAACTACTTTTACCTCAAAATGTAGCTCCAGTGCTGTCTCTTTCATGAGATTTCGGTGACATTTTTGTCAGCGTGGATGATCTCCATGTACATCCATGTACAGCCCACAAAGCCTAGAGCGTGCCCACTTCACATGTGTTCACATCCTTTGGCATCAATGCCTGACTCAGGCCCAGCCCATCTGGAGGGTGAGGAGAGATGGGTCCATCAACCCCAGATCCCAGTATAATCTTGGCAGGTTCAGGGTCTTCGAAGAAGAGCCACAGGTAGCTCGGGAATGCGAGGGCCATTCGTAGGGCTCACTGACCAGCCCGACTGTCACCCACAGCTAGAGGGACAAGCTGGTTCTCACCTCAGTCCCCTGCTGTGCTGGGTGTGAGTGGCCCTGTGGTTTGCACCCTGGTGTGGAGATTTTACCCAGAGGGTTTCCCAGAGGTTGAGTGTCCTTTAAGTGTGAAGGCCAACATTTTTAGAGAATCCAGGGCAGGAGCTCAGAATCCCAGGGACTGCCTCTCAGGGTGTGACTCTGAAAGAATGCACCCCACTCTGTCAGGAGTGGTGGAGGCACAAGTAGATGATAATCAGTAATCTATAAGTGGATGTTTTTCTTAGTGTTGCCTTTATTGGTCAGCCGACTCCTACAACACAGATGATAAAGAAGAATTCATTTCTTCCAATAGGGGGAGGGTAAACCTGCTCAATCTCAGACAATTCTAGACAGTATAGAAGCAGAAAGCTGGAGCCTGTAGCAGCGGCATCTCCATAAAGGTGGAGGGATCATGTTCCCTGCCCCCACATGTGCAGCTGCCTTGGACTGGCCACTGGGAACTGGGGGGAGCTGAGTGCCCAGGGGAGGCTGTACTGCAGGGCAGGCAGGTGAGCTAGGAGGAAAATGAGGATGGAAAGAGACAGGTCTTGTTCCCACTGCCTGGCTTGCACCCTGTCTCTCCTCCCTGGCAGGGGACCTGGAAGGAGACAGGTGGAGGAATGACACCTAGAGACAGTAGGAAATGACACTCACTTTCAAAATGGAAAGACTAGGGTGAAGCTAGGCAAGTTGGAAATCTGAATCATTTGCAGAAATGGAGACTTTAGTGTTTACCCAGCCATGGATTTTATTGCCTTAAAATATCTTAAGACTCTTGGCCTCCCTGGTGGCTCAAGGGGTTAAGATGCAACCTATGAAGCAATCCGCAGCCACTGCAGCATGAGTTCGATCCCTGACCAGGGAGCTACCGAAGTGGTGCAGCAGACCTCTCCTGACTTGCCCATTGCTCCCCTCAGCAGTATATTTCAGTCAATCTGCCTGTTCTGTTCCCCACTCTGTCTGTGGTGAATCTGCTCACCCCCCCGCCCCCCACACACCTCTGGCCTGTATCCCAGTTCTTGTGTGCATAAATAAATAAATCTTAAAAAAAATATTTTATGATTCTTGAGCCAGGAGGTGTGTGACAGCTGAGGTCAGTCCCTCGTTTCTTGCTTCAGGAAGAGTTCAGATTCTACAACTAAAATCAAAGCAAAACTAGTGATTAGGTGTTCAGAGATGGAATCAACATCTGCATAATCAGTGATTAAGTTTAAACCTTAAGGGTACCAAGGAGATTCCACATTTCCTCCCGGAAGTGGCCTCACTGCACTGCTGGGTGAAAGGGTGTCTCTGGGCCTAATGGAGTGGTTCTTTCTACCTCCAGCCCCTACAGAGTCTACAGCCAATGCAGTGATCTGAGCTAGGATTGTGGTTTTCTGATGTTAGTTTTTTTTTTTAATTTTTTTTAAAGATTCATTTATTTATACAATAACTGGGGTACAGGCCAGAGGTATGGGAGGGTGAGAGAACTCACCAGAAACAGAGCAGGGAGCAAAACAGGCAGACGGGCTGAAGACACTGCTGAGGGGAGCAGCGGGCGAGGCACGAGAGGTCTGCTACACCATGAGGGTATCTCCCTGATCAGCCTGGAATTGAACCTGTGCCGCAGAGGCTGCTGACAGCTTCACAGAACGGTGCTCAACTTGTTGTGCCACCATGGTTAACAATGGGACATGTGGTTTTTGTTATATTGATATTCTGTGACAGCATCCCACATCTACCTGGTGACCCTGCTGTTCCTGCCTGGTCCCGGGAGGAAAGGGACTTGTCCTGACCACAGTTCAGTGTCCCTTTGTGTAAAAGTGATCAGTAGATGTGGAGTCAGTTGCTGCACCTCCCCCTGCAGTGACCTTCAGGGCTAATGGCTGTTGCCATGGTCCCTGAGGTCCAGCGTGGGCAAGGAACCATGAGTGCAGGGGGAGAACAGCAAACTCCCTAAAGCTTAGATAGGCCAGATGCCTGTTCAAGAGATAATGAATACCAGAAGCCGCCACAAAGATTATTAAAAGAAATGCTGCTCACACAGAACCTTATCTCGCTTTCTCAAGGCCCACAAACTTTATTCTACTATAACTGTCTTTCTAAAATCTTTTCTTTTCCCGGTCTAAAAAGGTCATTGACTGCTGATTAAAAAACATATGTAATCTAATAACTAGGCTAATTCAAATGAAACATTACTAAACTCTGTGTAATAATAGAATTGTTAGTTTTATGATTTCTCTGTTGTGTCCTTGGCTTTGTTAGCTTTGATCTTAATGAAAAAATATTACTTTGTGAAAAGTATATTCACCCATGCTAATTAATAAATAAGTTAGTGGTAGTGAGTAGTTATTAAAACAAAAAAGTAATTACATAAAACAAAAGAAAGAATTAATAGCCTGTCTACTCAGAAATGTAGCTAGGTCCAGATGTAACTTCGGACATAGATCACAGCCCTGTCAATGATAAGCTAAACCTATGAGCCAGCTGGTTTAGTTCACTGATAACCGATCCTATGCCTTTAGAAAAACATATATATACTGACCACTGACTCAAATTAAATTGCACTCAGATTTCAGTCTCTTGAAGTGTGTCTGTGTGTCATTTATTCGCCGACTCCCTGACCACCCCGCGCAACCTCTCAACCCTGAGATGGCCTCACTGTCCACTGCTGTGCTGTTCCTCGGCAGGTGGCGCCCAACGGTGGGGCCCGACCTTCCATTTCATTGAATTTCCACCCAAAGGAGAGGTGAGTAGTGAAGAGGTTGCGTTGGGTAAGCTATCTCCTTCTTAGTGTGAGTGTGTGAGTGAATTTCTCCCCAAAATACCCTTTTTTTAAATAGTCAGGGATAGGATCCTCACTGGGGCGTCCTGTGCTCGCTGATAAAGGATGATCAGTTTGAGACAGTGAGAAGTCTTTCTAAAAGTAAAAAATATTCTCGTGGTGCTGAGTGTGTGAGAGAGTGCATGAATACGTCTCCACGGCCTCGTGGCTACGGAGTCTGAGTGGGCTGCACCCGCGGTTCCCGTGGAGGACGTCATACAGCATAACGGTCATCTACTCCTCGGAGTAGCCTGGTCCGGGGTTTATACGGACAGACCTTAGCTAAGACGCCTCCGCAAGTTCCCGCGAGGGACACGGGCCGGACAGCACAGTTGAAATAAAGATCTTGGGTGAGTGAACAACAGCACCACGAGGCCATGGGTCAAGTACAGACCAAAACCAGAGATCTTTTTCTATCTATACTAAGAAATACGATTGAAGCACGCGGTATTAAAGTAAGTAAAAAAGTTTTGTTGCAACTTTATGAATTCATACTACGGGTATGCCCATGGTTTCCAGAAGAAGGCAGTCTATCACTAGAAACATGGAAAAAAGTAGGAAAAGAAGTAAAAGAATTTTATGCCCTTCATGGACCGTCCCAAGTCCCGACTCAGGCATTGTCCTTGTGGGTACAAATTAGAGATCTGCTGATTGATGCCACAGAGGCAGAATTATGGGAAAGTCAACACAAGGATGAGTCTCAGGATGTTCATACAATGAACAAAGATATAGAAAAAACACCATTACTAACCCAACCCTCCACACCCATACTGAAAGAATCCCTTTCCCATTCGGAGGATGAGCTTAGTGATCATGAATATACTGAAATGCTAGATAAATTAACCTTCAAAAACGAAAAGCCCTCCCGCCCAGCCACCACTCTTTTTCCAGTCGTTACTAAACCTAAAACTGCATTACATAAAAATCTTGCTCATGATAGTGTCCTTCAAGGACCACTAGGTGGCATTCTAGGATCAGCCAGAGAGGCCAGCAAGACGGGAGATTTTTCATTTGCCTTTCCCGTGGCGGGACCTCCGGCCTTGACTCGCGCTGATGATGAGGGCCCTGTATGGGAGGCCATTCCTATAAAAACTCTTAAAGAATTACAGTCAGCTGTTCAGACAACAGGTCATAACTCCCCTTATACTTATCAAATTATTGACATGTTATCGGCCACTTGGATGACCCCTTATGACTGGCATAATCTTGCCAAGGCTGTTCTTCCTTCAGGAATGTATGTATTATTTCGTATGGAATATGAGGACCAAGTACATGCCTTCCTTAAGGAACACGACGATATGGTCAAGTCTGAGAAAATATCCATTTCCATGTTCATGGGAACAGAAAAATATACTGAGGTACGCAGACAGGCTGCCCTTCCAAAAGATGTCCTAGTTGAAATTAATAAACTAGCAGTTGCCTCATGGAAAAATTTACCTTCACCTGAGCACAAACCCACTAATCTCACTGATATACACCAACGTCAGGATGAAATGTACCAGGATTTTGTGGCTAGATTAGAAACTGCTCTGGATAAGGTTCTTCCATCCTCCGGAGCACGAGATTTGTTGTTTAAACAACTTGCATGGGAAAATGCTAATTCCCTTTGCAAAGAATTAATTAGACCCATAAGAAAAACTGGTACACTTCAGGATTACATTAAAGCTTGCTTAGATGCTTCCCTAGCGGTTGTTCAAGGCATTGCATATGCTGCAGCAATGAAAGGACAAACTTTCGCCGCTTTTGTTCAGTCAATGCCTCATGGGCGGCGTAACAATCAGGTTTCATGCTTTAGCTGCGGCCAGCCAAACCACACCTCCAAAAATTGCTCAAACAAGGCCCAGGTAATTGCTGATCTTAAACGCCCTATCCCGCCAAGCCCTTGCCCTCGTTGTAAAAAAGGTAATCATTGGGTCAGCGAATGTCGTTCTAAATGGCATAAGGATGGTCACAAATTAACCCCTAATCCTGCTCAGTCAATTGACCCAAAAAACTTCCAGAGGGGCAAGCCCTCAGCCCCGTAAAAGAAGGAGGGTCTCATCAACAACCCCCTCATCCCGATCCCGTTCCCCAGGTGTCAGTTCATGATCTCCCCCAGGTCACCCCGGGCAGTGCTGGTTTGGATCTAGCTGCCATCAAGGATGTTTTATTATCTTCCACAGACGGTGTACAATTAGTTGAAACCTATTTAAAGGGACCGCTGCCGGCTGGCTCGGTCGGACTAATAATTGGTCGCAGTTCAAATTACAAAAAGAATTTTGAGGTTTTACCTGGTATTGTTGATGCAGACTTTATGGGCCTAGTCAAAGTTGTGATCCGTCCGTTAAAGGAAACTATTCAAATTCACAAAGATCAAAGAATAGCTCAAATTCTAAATTTAAATTATGTTAAACTTCCAAACCCTATTTTAAAAGACAAACGGGGGGGGGGGGGGACGGTGGTTTCGGCTCCACCGAGGTCATAGCTTGGACACATCCCATTACAAAACAGAGACCTTTACAGACAATATATGTTAATGGACACCCTTTTATGGGATTATTGGACACTGGTGCTGACAGGTCATGCATAGCTGGCAAAGATTGGCCCTCATCATGGCCTACTACTAATTCCTCATCTACTTTAATTGGTTTAGGCATGGCAGACAATGTAGCTCAAAGCTCTCAGCTTTTACATTGGCAAATGAATGAGCATTCTGGTTTCTTTCAGCCATATGTGATTCCTTCCTTGCCCTTTTCATTATGGGGCCGTGATGTGATGGAATCTATGGGGTTAACCCACACCACTCCTGATTTAATTGATGAACAGGCTTTTTCTTAGGGGCCATTGCGGAAAACTTATTTGCTGATAAAATTGCTTGGAAAAATGCTGATCCTGTCTGGATACCTCAATGGCCCCTTACATCTGACAAAATCCAGGCTATACATGACATTGTCACTGACCAGTTATAAAAAGGGCATTTAGAACCTTCTAACAGCCCTTGGAATACTCCTGTCTTTGTAATTAAAAAGAAGTCAGGAAAATGGAGGCTTCTTCAAGACCTCCGCTCAATTAACGACACTATGCATGACATGGGAGCCCTCCAACCCGGCCTTCCCTCCTCTGTAGCTGTTCCAAAACAAAATCATATTATAATTATTGATTTGCAGGACTGTTTTTTCACCATTAAATTACACCCTGATGATTCTCCTCGGTTTGCCTTTAGTGTTCCATCCGCTAATTTTAACCAACCCTGGCAACGATTTCAATGGAAAGTCCTGCCTCAAGGCATGAAAAATTCTCCTACTTTGTGCCAAAAATTTGTTGATCAGGCTTTGCAAGCTACCAGACATAAATTTCCTGATGCATATATTATTCATTACATGGATGACATTCTTCTGAGCCACTCCTCTAAGGAAGGTGTGGAAACGCTTTTACAATGTTTAATTACTGACCTGACCTCCTTTGGTCTTGTCTTTGCTCCTGACAAAATTCAGCGTGAGCGACCACTTAACTATCTGGAAAAAACTATTCATGATGATTTCATCATGACTCAAAATCTTCAAATCCGTCTTGATAAGCTTTCCACATTAAATGACTTTCAGAAGTTACTTGGAAATATTAATTGGATTCGTCCTTATCTTAAAATTGCTACAGGTGATTTACACCCTCTTTTCCAGATTTTACAAGGAGATCCTAACCCTAAATCACCTCAGTCCTTGACGCCCGCCCCAGGCTCTCTCAAAACTGCTTCTGGTTGAACAAAAACTTTCTGAAGCTAGAGTTTCTCAAATTGATTATTCATCACCATGGGAATTACTTGTTCTTAAAACTGAATTCACCCCTACTGCCTGCCTGTGGCAATCTGGTATTCTTGAATGGCTTTATTTAGCACACCATCAAACAAAAATGGTCACATCTTACGCCTCTATGTGTGCATTTCTAATAATGAAAGGGTTGACACGTTCTAAAGAACTGTTTGCAAAACTCCTCTCTGTTATTGTTGTTCCATATACTAGAACACAGTTTGAATTTCTGCTTCAAAATGACGATGACTGGGGCATAGCCTTGCTCAATTTTCCTGGTCAGGTCAAATTCCACCTGCCACAGCACCCTATTTTAAAATTTGTGACGGAAACTGCTTTTACTTTTCCTAAAATTGTTTCCTCGCAGCCTCTGCCAGGAGCTGCCATTGTTTTTACTGACGGTTCCTCCTCCGGAATTTCGGCTGTTTATCATCCTGACCAGTCTCCTATACAGCGTTTCTCTAAAGGAATTTCTGCTCAGCAGGCTGAAATTATTGCTGTAACACTTGCTTTAGAGCATTACACATGTCCTCTGAATTTATATTCTAATTCTAAATATGTTGTCTCCTTGTTTCCGGCAATTGAAACTGCCTTGATATCTGGGTCATCCCATATTTCTTCCTTACTGGCTCACTTACAAACACTGCTACAAGCCAGAACACAAAAATTGTTTATTGGCCACATTAGAAGCCATTCTAATCTGCCTGGGCCCCTGTCCCTAGGTAACCACATGGCTGATTTACTTACAAAATCTCCAGCTGTCATGACGGTGGCTCAGGCTCAAGAGAGCCATCCATGCTCTTCATCACCAAAATGCTAATGCTCTGCGTCACCGTTTTCAAATTACTAGAGAACAAGCCAGACAAATTGTCCGTGAATGTCCTTCCTGTCCGGACGTTCATCATCCCCCTAAACTAGGAGTTAATCCTCGAGGCTTAAAGCCTCAAGTTCTCTGGCAAATGGATGTAACTCATGTCCCCTCTTTCGGGAGACTTTGTTTTGTTCATGTAACTGTTGATACTTTTTCACATGCTGTTCACGCCACTGCCCGTACTGGCGAGGCAGTGAAGGATGTCATTCAACACCTTACTGCATGTTTTGCGGTTTTGGGTAAGCCATTGAAATTAAAAACTGACAATGCTCCTGATACACTTTTAAATCATTTCAATCATTTTGTGCTCAATGGCGTATTGCTCATGTTACTGGCATTCCATATAATCCTCAGGGTCAAGGTATTATAGAAATAACGCATCAAATATTAAAAATCCAACTTGACCGTCTTCAAAATGTGGCCCGTTTTTATTCCCCTCAACATCTTCTTCAACATGCTCTGTTTGTAATTAATCATCTTAACTCGGATGACAAAGGTATTACCCCTATGGTGCGGCATTGGGGATACACTGACATCTCCAATCTGCCTCAGGTCAAATGGAAAGACCTCCTCACTGGAGCCTGGAAAGGCCCAGATTTACTGCTTGCCTCAGGGCGAGGTTATGCTTGTATTTTTCCTCAGGATGCCGACACCCCTGTCTGGATCCCAGACAGACTCATCTGCCACTGCCCGCCGGTCTGGAGCGCGAGCCCAGGTTCTCCGCCACCGACGGCAGATGGCGCGCTTGACGAGGAGGATGCGTGTCGCCTTCAACTCCTGCGGGAGCATCCCAGCTGCCTGCCGACGTGGGGTCACATAAAGGCCCTCGCAAGGATGGCTGAAAACCTGGTCCAACAAAATAATGTTCCACGCACTGCCTCATCAATTTTCCTGGCACTTATTGCCATTTTGGCAACTCAGTCCACACCTGTACAATCGGCCCAATTTTGGGCTTACGTCCCCGAGCCACCTTTTCTGCACCCGGTTCCCTGGACAGAAGGCTCTGTCATAAAGGTATATGTTAATGACACCAACCTTCTTGGTGGCTTGGCTGATTTTCACTCTGAACACGTGGTTTCTTCCCCTATTGATTATGAGGGCCTGTCTGATGGCCCTCCACTCTGTGTCTATGCTAACTCTGTATCCCTTCCTGGTTGTATGATGCTACATTACGTTTTCATGCTCACTGATGCACCACCTCGCACTACCCCTGAAAGCCATCCAACGAACAACAAAGACCGTGTCATCTGGGATTTAACGTTCATGGCCTTGGACCAATTAACGGTGGACAATGGAATCGGCACCTTCTCCTCACCGCCCTTTACTCCCCCTTTTCCCAACTGTGCTCAAAAATATCGGGATGTTGACCAATTCTGGGATTCTCTTATTTCTTACCCAGTTTGGCTGCACTGTGGTTTTTCTCAGGCAATGCCTATATCCCCTCTTATGTCTCAGTTTACTGTATATGATTTTTCGTTTGCTGTTCCAACCCTTCCCTACAGAAAGTTTTCTGTTGGTTGGGTGCCACCCATGTATGTTTTTAATCATCACAATAAGACTTATTTTCAGCCTGAACTCTTTCGTCTCTTCGCTGCCTTCGATGATGTACATTTCAAACAACAAGGACAGGACACATGGACATGGACATCCCCAGTGCGTGCCTGCGTTGGATACCCCTTCGCTATACTTCTGGGCAACACCTCAGCTACACACATTCAACTGCGTGGGACTTCTTACTCCATTCATTGTTCCGGTTGCATTGTTACTAATTGTATTACCCCTTCTCTTGCTCGTTTGTACCCTGTTATAATCTTACTCAAAAGACCGCCCTATGTTATGTTACCTGTTGATTTACATAATATGCCTTGATATGATAATATTGCCATGAAAGTTTTGGATGAAGTCCATGCTCTTCTTCATCCTAAACGTTTTATTGCTATCCTTATTCTAGGCATTGCTGCTCTGATTTCCCTGGTTACCTCCTTGGTTACTTCCTCTGTTGCTTTAATTCAGGAAGCTAAGACAGCTTCTTTTGTAAATGACCTTACCAAAAACGTGTCCATGGCACTCTCTACACAGCGGGACATTGACTATAAGTTGGAAAGAAAGATAAATGCCCTGGAAGAAATTGTTATTGCTATTGGCGATGAGGTTCAACTTCTCAAACAACAACTGTCTACTCGTTGCCACGTTCAGTTTCGTTTCGTGTTATGCCTTTGCATTATAACTCCTCTCTACATTGGAATCTTATTAAACATCACCTATTGGGCATCTGGCATGACAATGACCTTTCTCATGACCTTGCGTCTCTTCAGTCTGAAATCTCTGCTGTCAGTAAATCTCATCTGGATACTTCAGTCTCTTCCTTTGCCCATTCTCTGGCTTCCACTCTCCAATCTTTGACTCCTACTCACTGGTATCATCTTGTTCTCTCCTTCCTTGCTCTTTCCCTACTTGTTTTGCTCCTTTGTTTGTTTGTTCCTCTCTGTGTCCGTTCACTTCACAGGTCCATCTACTGCATCCAGCGTGACATGTATGCTTATCAACTTCATTCTAAAAACAAAGGGGGACCTGCTGCACCTCCCCCTGCAGTGACCTTCAGGGCTAATGGCTGTTGCCATGGTCCCTGAGGTCCGGCGTGGGCAAGGAACCATGTGCGCAGGGGGAGAACAGCAAACTCCCTAAAGCTTAGATAAGCCGGATGCCTGTTAACGACCACCAGAAGCCGCCATGAAGATTGTTAAAAGGAATGCTGAACACACGGTACCTTATCTCGCTTTCTCAAGGCCCACACACTTTATTCTGCTACAACTGTCTTTCTAAAATCTTTCCTTTTTCTGGTCATTGGTTGCTAATTAAAAAACATACATAATTTAATAAACAGGCTAATCCAAATGAAACATTACTAAACACTGTGTAATAATAGAATTGTTGGCTTAATAATCTTTCTATTATGTGCTTGACTCTAGTACCTTTGATCTTAACTACATTATAAAATAAATTCACCCATAACAATTAATTATGAGTAAAAATCAGTAGGTAGTAGTAGTTAGTGCAACAAGAATATAATTACATAGAACAAAAGAGTTAATAGCCTGACTACTTAGGAATGCGGCTAGGTCCAGATGTAACTTCGAACATAGATCACTGCCTGTCAATGATAAGCTAAACCTATGAGCAAGCTGATTTCTTTGATGTTCACTGTTCCTATGCTTTTAGAAAAAACATATATACTGGGCACAAACCCAAAGAAAATTACACTCAGATTTTCACTCTCTTGAAGTGTGTCTGTGTGTCATTTATTCGCCGAATCCCTGACCACTCCGCGCAATCTCTCAACCCTGAGACGGCCTCATCATCCACTGCTGTGCTGGTCCGCGGCACTTCTTTGCCTCCACCAGGCAACCTATAGCATGGGTTTCTTGACTTAGACTCAGTCTCCCCATCGGGTTTCTCTCCCTTCAGTCTTAACCACTTAAAAAATATCCTCTTTGATATCTTAAGAGTAATGTATTCAGAAACACATCTGTCTGCACAGCACTCTGCTGCTCCCTCAAGGTTGACCTTTGTCCCAGGAGGACGTCCCAGCCCCAGACAGGCTGACTTCTCCACCCTCATCTATGGCCACTCCCTGCCATCTCAGCCCTGGGGAACAGGAATGTCTGAGCAACTGTGATCCCGGCTGCTGTTCCATCCCCTTTGCCTTCCTGAGGCTTCCACTCTCTCTCTTCGCCCTTCTCCTGTAAACCCTTATCCTGGCCTCAAACCATCTACCAGCTGCTGTAAGCCTTTATTTCAGAGAGGATCTCTGACCCTAAGAATTGTGGCTAATTCACAACTCCCCTATCCCCCCATACCTACCTCTGTATGTCCCTAACAGTTTGCCCCTTTTCTTGTTGAAATTGAATTCCTGGGGGGCCTCCCAGGTGGCGCATGGGGGCAACCTATGCAGCTGTCCGCAGCCTCTGCAGCATGAGTTCATCCCCTAGCAGCCAGGGAGCGGCCACATGGCTTGCCCCATGCTCCCCTCAGCGATGTGCTTTGGTTGGTCTGCCTGTTCTGTTCCCCACTCTGTCTCTGGTGGGTCCTCTCACCCCCACATCTCTGGCCTGTACCCCAGCTCTTATATGCATAAATAAGTAAATCTTAAAAAAAAAATTGAATTTCTGGGTCTCACTTCATCCCTTGGTGTTCTCCAGCCAGCAAAGAAACCCTTTCCTCAGTGCCAGTCCTTCAGAGCTGTAGGAGGGTACAATGCAGAGTGCCCCAAGCTTGCAGAGCCAAGGGTCACCTGCGTTGTTTCCAGGAATTTCCTCTCCAGAGTTGATCTCAGGAGGGTTGAGTGGGGCCTAAGAATCTGCATTTTGGGAGCCTCCCTGGTGGCCTAGGGGTTAAGTCTGCACTACCACTGCTGGTGGCCTGAGTTTGATCCCTCCCATGGAGCTAATCCACAAGGTACAGCAGACCTCTCCTGCCTCACTCACTGCTCCCCTCAGCAGTGTATTTCAGCAGATCTGCCTATTCTGCTCCCCATTCTTACCACCACCACTCCACCCCAGCATACACCCCAGTTTTTCTATGCAAAAATAAATTAATAAAATCTAAAAAAAAAAAGAAGAATCTGCATTGAGCAAGCACCTCATAAATGGTTCCTTGAAAAAAAAAAGATTTGTTTTATTTATTTATGCATAAAAGAACTGGGGTATAGGCCAAGGTGCTGGGGGTGGGGTTGGGGATTAATAAGAGTATGAGAGGATTCACCAGAGATAGAGTGAGGAGCAGAACAGGCGGATCTACTGAAATACACTGCTGGGGGAAGCACAGGGCTAGACAAGGAGAAGTCTGCTGTGCCACAGGGGTTAGGTCCCTGGCCAGGGATTAAATTCCTGCTGCAGTGGCTGGTGATAGCTTGATAGGTCTGAGACTTAAGCCCTACACCACGAGGGAGGCCCCTGGATTGATTTTTTTTTTTAAAGATTTGACTGAAATACACTGCTGAAGGGAGCAGCGGGCAAGTCAGAAAGGTCTGCTGTGCCATATGGGTAGCTCCCTGGCAGGAGATCAAACCGCACTGCAGCGGCTGCAGACAGCTTCATAGGTTTCGTCTTAACCCCTTGAGCCACCAAGGAGGCCCTGATTTTTTTTTTTTTCTTTAAGCAAACAGTAAGACCAATCATCTCAGAACAGCATCACAAGGAGAGCAAGGGCCCTCCAACACCATCCCCACAGATAGTGCTGTCAGGTGGCTATCCTGATTTTTAAACAAAAGATGAGTTTCTGCTATTATGTTTCCTCAGATCTTACTATGGTCTTGGCCTCAGCATGATGCTGATCTGACAGGTCACCAGCCACCTCTACATGTTAAATCCACCCACCCTTTCCTGGCCTGGGCTCTCAGCAGTCTGTGACCCTGGGTTTCTTTCCCTCCTGTCAATGTCCAGTTTGGAGCTGACTCCTCTCCTCAAGCCTCCCTACCTAACTCCACTCCTATAATTTTCTGGGTCACTTGCTCAAGCCCTGTCTTCTGCTCATTTTACAAGTTCTGGCTGGAGAAAGCCCCTCACCCCTGATCCTCTACTCACCTTGTGCTTGCAGCTCCCACCTTCTCTCCTCCACACTGATCCTCAAGGGGGCTTTTCCAAACACAAGTGCCATTGCTTTACTGCCCTGTCTGAGATCCTTCCATAAGCCTCTCCCCATTGCCTTCAGAAACACTCAATTTCTAGGCCTGTTCCTGTGGGACAGGTCCTTGCCCGGGATTCAGACCTGGTTTGACATCCCTCACTTACTGACATAGCAGGAACATTAAGTTAGGGACATTACATAACTTCTAAGCCTCCCTCTCCATCCTTAGCCTGGGTAAATGAGATCTACCATGGATGGAGATGGCTGGGATTCAGGAGTTTATGTTAAAAAATACCTGGAGAGGGAGCCTCCTTGGTGGCACAAGTGGTTAAGCAAAGCATTGTGGAACTATCAGCAGACACTGCAGCATGAGTTTGATCCCCGGCCAGGGAACTGACCCACATGGCACAGCAGACCTCTCCTGTTTTACCTGCTGCTCCCCTCAGCAGTGTATTTCAGTCAGTCTGCTCCCCACTCTGTCTCTGGTGAATCCTCTCACCCCCCGCATCTCTGGCCCACTTCTTACATGCATAAATAAATAAATATTAAATATATATATACCTGGGCCTCCCCTGGTGCCGCAGCGGTTGAGCGCTGGGCTGCAAAGCTGCCCACAGCCTCTGCAGCTCCGGTTCGATCCCTGGCCACCCGGAAGGGTCCCACATGGCGCGACAGACCTCTCCTGTCTCGCCCGCTGCTCCCCTCAGCAGTGTATTTCGTCCGTCTGCCTGTTCTGCACCCTGCTCTGGCTCTGGTGAATTCTCTCACCCTCCCGTGCTTCTGACTGTACCCAGTGCTTGTATAAACAAATAAATAAATCTTTTAAAAAAAAGATATATATATACCTGGAGAGGGCCTTCCTGGTGGCGCAGAGGGTTAAAGCACAGCACTGTGAAGCTATCCGCAGCCACTGAAACACAGTTGGATCCCCAGGCCGCAGGGAGCTACCCACATGGCGCAGCAGACCTCTCCTATCTCGCCTATTGCTCCCCTCAACAGTGTATTTCAGTGGATCCACCAGTTCTGTTCCTCACTCTGTCTCTGGTGAATCCTCTCACCCCCTGAACCTCTGGCCTGTGCCCTAGTTCTTGTATGCATAAATAAATAAATCTTTAAAAAAAAATACCTAGAGAGATGGCACTCCAGCTCAGGTAAGTTCTGAGTCAGCTGTGTCTTCCCACCGGTCCTCCCATCACTGAATGTCAGCCACCTCCTCTCCAGTCTTTCTGCACCTCCAGAGATAGAACCCACTCTTCTTGGGGAACCCTAAGACCCTATACATTCTGCTGTGACAGCATCTGTAACATCTATGCACTGATCTGCACGATAAAAATTTGTTGTTTTTGTTTACCAGCCCAATACTGGTAAAAGATCAGATCCTATTCATCTTTCATCCCTCACATCCTAAGCAGGAAGTAGCTAATCAGGGAGGGGTTGTGGGGAGAGGTGGGTGGGGTGTAAAAACCAAACTGATAAAAAATTAACTTTCTCTGTTCCTTCCTGTCATGCTGTCCGCGTTACTAAGGAGCAGGTCTCCGTGCAAACTCACTCCTCACCAGCCTCATCTCTCAGCCTTGGCAACCTCCTCTCCCTGGTCCTCCCTGGTTTGGCTCCCTCATAAAGGCCACAGTTGGGGGAGGGTGTGGTTGGGGTATCGTGGAGGGGTCTGCACAAGCAGGCCCCCACGAGTCTGGGCCCAGAGGCACCACTGGCCCCTGGCGGTGGGTATGGGCGCCTGGCTGGAGGCAGGGAGGGCAAGCCTCTCTGGCCCTAGGGCTGCGGGGCTGGGGAGCTGCAGGGGGGTGGCGTGGCGATCAGCAGGCCTGGAAGGTGGAGCGGGACCCCGCACACCCGTCGCCCCGCACTCACTGGCCTGGTTTCCCGAACCTGCCGCCCGGAAGAAACTCAGCAGCAGGACGAGCGGGCCCTCGGGCCGGGGGCCCAGCATGTCGCCCGGGCCCCGCACCAGCCACAGGCCGCACCCCGACCGCGCAGGCAGAGCGCCCCGGGCCTCACCGGCTGCGCGTCCGGAGAGGCTCCCATTGGGCGGGAGCCGCTGGGGAGGCGGCCTTTCCCTCTCCTTGAACCCCATTGGGCTAAATCTGTTATAGGACAGGGAGAGGGTCAGCCCAAACCCCGCAAACCTGCCTATTCTAAATGGGTTCTGCCATCCACCGCATCAACACAAAACATATGAGACTTTAATGGGAAGGATCTTTAATAAAACTAGGAAACAATACAGGTAAGGCAAAGAGTCTAGTTTCTAAATGAAGCACCCAAAGTTACCCGTCCCCTCGTGGGTAAAAGTCCATCCAAATGGGATTGGCCCAGAGCAAAGCCCCAAAGCCTGCCACAAGTCTAAAGCATCTTCCAGGGGGGACCCACAGAAAAGAGTCAGAAACAACCAAACAAGCCCGGAAGGAAAAGAGCAAAATCAACATCCAGATAAAAGCTGCCATGGTCACCTCCCCATGGGTCTCACCCACATCTGTGTCACCCCGTCCACGACCAAAAGACAAGCGCAGCTTCTTCACGTGTCTCTAGGCTCCATGTGTTTCCTCCAGGTCTCCTGGCTCCATCCTGCTTCCTTCCTTCCTCAGTCTCTTCTTCTGCTTCTCCTCTTCCTGCTCAGCTCCACCCTCCCTTGGGTGGGGCAGGGAAACTCCCCCTTTCCT